ACACAAATTTTCCATTTATAGTACCTGATAATCGAATTTTCGCTCCGGTAGTTACATTAGCCCTAGTGCGCCGTATTAATTAATAGCTTTATTCCTAATAGTGCTCCTGATACAATGTAGAATTTCAACATATTCTACATAAAATATTCCTTACAATTCTCTCTTTTTATTCCATAGTAAGGGTGGGAAAATAATTAAATATGAATGTAAAATTAGAATTAAGTAAAAATATTGAGAACAAGAATGTAATAATGATAGAAATAAAAAGAGAGACCGTTTACTTACTTTGTGCTTAGCAGTAAGTTAGTACCAAAATGAGTTACCGCAGAGTTTGTGTATTTAGTTGTCCGAGCACAAATTCTTTTCTAATTACTTCTAGTCCTACTTAGTGTTGTGCAAGGGAGATCTGTGTAGACTGATAAGTTCATTGAACGACTGACTGACTGGTTTCAACATAGAACTTTGCACAGATTTCCAGCAGTTTGAGTTGCCACACTCCTTTCTTGTAGCACACAGAGCAAGAGAAGAGAGTAAAAGGAGGTTCAAAAGAGAGATAATAAACAGAAGTGTTAGTAAGGGAAAAAGAATAGTAATATGGAAGAAAATAGAGTTTAATTGGATATTATAAATCACACAAGGAGTGAGTGCATCTCGGCTATCGAGAACCGTCTTGAGCCATATCACCAATTGTTTCTGGCCTTCATGAGGACTCCAATCAGTCAGGAAGCCTGCACATCCCTACGTGACTGGCTCAAAGCCATGTTTTTGTCTGACCACCACACGTTCATTTCCAATCTGAGCAATCCTATCTCAGCTAACATCGTCCATTGTCGAGGAAGGCGATGGCTAGACATGCGTAACACATGTCCTAACCATCTCAACTCATGTAGCTTTACAACCTCATCGATTGACTTTCTCTCCCTACCTAGCAATCCACGCCTAACCTCAATAACGATCGTCGGTGATCGAATGAACAAAAAGATACATTTGGATTTCTGCAAAATGCGTATAACTATCTCTTCGTATACATCAAGAGTTAAGTGTATTGAATAGCATTAAACTTTACTGTTAGCATCATGACTGTAAAACATAACTACTGGGCTAACTACTTATCTGAGACATTTCTAATTATCTGAACCTTATCACTGTTTTTTAGAATCGTCTGTATTTGATAGAACGAACCTTCAATGTGAAAAACTGAAGCAAACTACTAAACATGCCTTAATATCATTCATGTGTGCGTCGGTGGCACAGTGGTTAGGACTCTCCCCGGCCATGCACATGGTCCGGGGTTCGATCCCCTGCCGGTGCACACCTGATATCAACGGTCGGCCTGCAAAATTTGGGCTACCGATATACATGGTGAAAATTTCATACTTGTTCCAAAAATGCGGTGTAGAATCAAGCTATAATCACACACACAATGTTGATCTTCGATCAGATCCTTTCATAATAATTAATATTCAAAATTATGATTCATCAAAGTATTTATTAAGTCTCCTTTCGTTTATATAGTGGGTAGGCTTCGTACAATATTTTAGAGGGAAACATTAGTTATCCGTATTCAGTGATTAATATCTAAAGTCGGTCGGCTGAGCTACTAAATACATTTTTTCATTTTCTCTGTCTCAATGAATTTGCCTTGTTCATTAATTCAAAATAGCATCTATATTAAACAGTAGTCAATGTTTTTCAGCTTAGATATATTTCCAAAAGAATGGATACTGAACACAGAGTACTCTTTTCGATAAATTCATCATCAGGCTCTACAGTTATAAATGCATTATAGTGAATGAATCAATTAGTGTTGTGAACAACATTAATGTTTAAATAACATCGAATCAATAATATTGATAGATTACAGCTCAATAGCATCAACAAAAAGTGGGCTGAATGTCAGAAAAATTAGGAAAGATAATAATAGAGAATCCATGAATTTATAGTCTCTACTGAAGGCTAGCCAGGGCAGTATTAAGGGCTGGACTTGCTTCTTTTGAACACAGAGCACTTGTTGTTTGAGGCAACAGCAGAGGCCTCTGCTGTTTGGACCATGCGGTGTTTCGACGATTTTGTCAATTTATTAGGTACGCGGTAGATTATAGAGAAGGATTCTTCAACGCTGGCTTTGTGGCTGGTTTGCACCAGATGGTCCAATATCCAACTGTTAATGGTTTTAACTACACCTTTACTTAGCCATAGTGGGATATGTTCTCGAGCACGAAAAATCAAGTTCCTACAGCAACGGCCAATATAACTCGCCCCACAAGCGCAGTTGAAATGGTAGATAAAATCTGAAGTGGCTAGTTTAGGTACTTCATCTTTCAGTCGAGGTAGCACCATCGGTCGTGTAGAGAATAATACGTGTAGTTCGCCAGCATTAAAAGTTCTTTGAACTGATTTTCTTAATTTCCTCGTAATTATCTCACTTGGTATATCGCCCTTGAATTGTAGTCGTATATAAAGAGGCTTTTTGTTTACAGATAGTGAGTAGTCCTTAACAGCTTTCTTTGTTATGTGTTTCTTGATAAATTTTTCGGGATGGCCATTTTCGATCAAAGTATCATATATAATGCTTAATTTATCTTCAATTACTTCTTCTGAGCATATAGCTCTAACCCTGTGGCTGAGAGTCTTCACTAAATTTCTTTTGTTCTTGAGAGGAACGAAGCTGTGAAAATGTGTATATTGTCCTGTCCAAGTGCTTTTTCTATTCAAATTTCTTTTTATGATACCATCTGGTGTTCTTGTAAGTAGGACATCCGGAGAAGTAATTCTGTCTTGGGATTCCTCTTCACATGTGAATTTCATAGCCGGATGTACTTCATTGAATTCAGTAATTATTGTACTCGTATGAGAACCATTATCACAAAGAATGAAGATATCACCCATATATCGGCAATAAAATGAGACCTTACTGATAAGGTTGTTCAGAGGTCCATTTTCTAGCTTATTTAGAAAGAAATCAGCCAGAATGGGACCCAATGGGTAGCCCATCGCCACCTCGTCCTCTTTCCTGTGAAGCTTGCCGTCAAATTTGAAATTTACATTCTTGGTACTTCCTAATATCAATTCTTTTCGGATTTCAATATTGACCCCATTGTTTATCGACTTCTTGTCCACCTTTTCACATATGTAATTAACTGTTTCTATTAGAGGTACATTTGAGAATAACGACGTTATATCTAAATATATTATGGTTTTGTCCTTGATATTAATATTTTTGATTTTTTCTACGAATTTAAATATATCTCTGACGCTATATTTCTATAATGAAAACCTTAAGATAAACACACAACTGTATCGTCCTACCTTACGTGTGCTCACCAATACACACCCTAACAATTTAGCTAGTGTAATAGAATCCAATAACAAATGTATTCTAAATTTGTCAACTCGTGATATCTGCTACTACTATCTGCCAGCCAGTGCAACCGAAGAGCATGTGATTCACTCCGATACCGTAGATCCCATCGGCGGTGACTTCTCTTTGCAGCTTCAGGACATTTCCTGCAGTAGCGACCAATGAGCTCCAGATAGTAATGTTCGTACTACGGGTTGTGTAGATCCCCAATGGTGGGTTCTCTATGCTGAAGAGTCCAAAAGTAGGACAAAACAACTATTCAGTTCTCTTTGATTTGTGGTAATTCTCTAACTGACGCACCTCTTCGTGACGAAATCTACTTTCAGATTAATCCAAATCCCCATGAAATCCAGAGCATGAATCCGGGAACCAAATGAAAATTAGCTAAGTAATTCCATGATAAAATTTTATGGCACTAACTGCCAGAAGTTAATTTGAATAAAACAATAGCAACAAATTAGGCACCATCATTTACTTCGTTGGATTCTCATCAGCTCCGTACAGGCTGTAGGAAATGACCAAGTTTGTGTGCACAACGATTTTAGCATATTTGCAAATGTTACATGATGTCAGTCAATAACAGCAACCTCCAAACTTAATAAACAGTGCTCAGAAAACTACGTTTATATACTTTTTGCCCAGAGAGTTCAAGTCCAAACAAAATTAAATGTTTGCATACCATGCATACATGGTAAAGGAGTTAAGTAATAAAGACAAGAGGTGGGTAAGATGATGAGTAACTAACACATTGAGTGAGTTCAACTCAAATCATAGAAATAAGAGACAAGCAAAGCTACAGTATATGAAAAGGCGAACAGCTTAAAGCCAAAGCCAAATATTTCGCAATCAAATGAAAGAGAGAATAGAGACATATAGTTACCAGAATGGGCAAGGAAAGACTGACAACTGCTTCTTTGTGAACACATACATCTAGTTTCAGGCATCTGATGGAGGTTACATCAGCAAACGTGAGGAGAATTGAACTATTTTGTCTATTGTCCATCTCATGATTCGCATTGGTGAGATATCTGGCAATAACACTACTGTAAATATTTCCCATGAGACGTAGGCTTCCTGGTACATGTTCTAGAAGTCGCAGGTGTGCCATGCTTTCTGTTCTCCTAATAGTACTGCTATTACAGGAACATATAAAAATGTGTATACACAGTTTGAGTCCACACGAGAAGGGTATCTATCGACTTTCGACTGAACTAAATAGCATGTCGTCCAATAAACGGAAATCAACATAGCTGTAGGTTATGTTCTAGCTAGTTAGATATTCATTCTTTTGTTTACTACTCCTGCAATATTGTCTCCTCTGAAATTGAGTTGAATGGAGATAGAATTTTTCCCCTTTGTGATTTCCGTACTTAATGAAAACAAAACACGTAGATCAGCGAAGCGTCTCTTTCGGTGAATTCATTTTCTTAGCTGTACAATCGCAAATATATATGTTATTTTGTATGTGTGTGTACATTAAGTTCGTCAAACAAAATTACAATTGGTTAAGGTTATTTTAACTAAACAGGTGAAGGTTGGTAATGCAAATCAAGAAAATTAGATGTTAACGAAACTAGGGTAGTAATAAAGGTGATGAGTTGTCACAAACAGTTGTTAAAAGAAGTTATGCAATAATATGAATAGTTTGATGAGTGAGTTTTACTCAGGATGCACATAGAAACAAAGTAGATAATACGAAATGAATACAAGAATTCTAAGCAATTAAAGAACAGGTGAAGAAACAAAATTAAGTCATCAAAATAAAAAAAACTCAAACCAAATCAAAACATTGTTACCATGACATTAGAAGTGGTTGAGTAATTCTCTTTTGTATACACAGCTCCGGTTTTCCTATGTGAATGGCCAGAGCTTCAGCGATACAAAGGAGACGAAACCGTATTGCCTTTGGTAGGTCATTCTTGACTCTAGATTACTTTGAGGCAGGAGGCGTTTGTTGAGATGGAATGTTGGATGAGTGTTAACCAGGTGTTCAATTATCGCACTCCTTATTGCACCAATATTGCCTTTTCGCAGCCATGCTGGATAGTGTTTTTGAATCCTCTTGAACAGGATGCGCGTCGAACGACCGATGTACCTGGCTCCACAGCAGCAGGTGAACTGATATATGCACACAGAAGTGGCCAGATGCGGGATCTTGTCCTTGAGGCTTCTGCAGATCAATGGGCGACTGGAGAACACTATTCTTAACGTTGCTGCAAAGAATGTTCTTCTCAGAGATGATGTGATTCTTCTCTTGAGAATATCATTTGCTAAATCTCCCTTAAAATACAAGTTCATGTAGAGTTTCTTTTTAGGCGCAATTAAAGTTTCGTTTCCCCGAACTCTTGGTTTGATATTTTTGCCGATGAATCTTATTGGGTATCCATTATGGATGAAGATTTCTCTTAGAATAACTAATTCTGTTCCCAGAACGCCGGGCCTACAGATGTATCGGATGCTGGTGGCAAGTGATTTAATTAAATTTCGCTTTTGTTGAATGGGTACCCAGCTAGAGAATCTTGTTAGTTGATCATTCCACGTAGGTTTTCTATGGATTGATCTTCTTAGGCTCCCATCAGCTCTTCTTGTTAGTTCCACATCAAGAAACGGAATTTTTGACTCGTTCTCCATTTCAAGAGTGAATTTTATTGCTGAATGGTAACAGTTAAATGTCATTAGCAGTAGATTGGGGTGATTGTTGTTGTCACAAATAATGAAAATGTCGTCCATGTACTTGTTAATAAATTTCTAAGGCTAACCACTGTTTGTCAACATCTTTCTGAGAAGCATAAATTCTTCCTCAAATTTTCCTGTAGAGCACATCCTTCTGACTTTATAAAACAGAGTTTTGACCAGTGCTCGTTTATAGCTATTATTTGAAAAAAACCTACTAAAATGTAAGTATTGTCCATTCCATGTAGACTTTCGATAAATTTATCTCTGTAGACTATCATCTTTCAGGTATTGCATGGCGATTTCAAGGAAATGAAATTTCCCGTCATTTTCATGTTCCATATTAAAAACAATATTTTTTTATGTACATCGGTGAATAACGCGAGTAGGCAGGAAGCATTGTTTCACACTGTAAAGGTGTCATCAACATATCGATAATAGGTTGTTTGGTCGATTGCAGACTTCAATTTTATTCTCTCAAGATTGGGCATGTATATGTCTGCTAAAATAGGCCTAAGGGGACTAACCATAGCTACAGCAACTATTTGGCAGTAAAGAGTGCTGTCAAATTGGAATTGTACATTCACGGTACATATTAGCAGCAGGCGTCTAACTTTCGACACTGGGAGTGGGAAATGATCAGATCACTGAAAAATGATATCGATATTTTAATTGATTAGGAACCTTGTGAACAAGGAGATTACATCAAATGGCATCATGAACTCATTTGAAGCGTTCGCACTCTGTATATATCGATCTTTTTGTTACTGCTTATGCCAGTAAATATTCTAGTATCTACTTTTCTAACACCTTCAAACATTTTGTTCAATTTTGGCTTTGCTACCGATATGCTAATATTTCGTTGTCAAAATTAACTGAGACTACGCATAATCTATGAAGAATTTTATTTATTGTTAATGTACAAACTGGATGCAATACTGTTGTGAAATGCTGAGAATTGCATTCTGTATTACAAGTATTTTTTGGAATAAAACAAATTATTATTATTCATGTGGTTCAGGCTTTCAGTGAAATGAAATGCACTTAGCTAGCTATTGAAGAACGAATTCCAAATTCTCCGCAAGCCAACGAGCAACTTTTTTCTTAGCGAGGTTATCATATGAACTATAGGTATCAGGGAGACATGTTTTTGTGTATTTTTGTCACTTAGTATATTAGTAAATCATTATTTTACTCACCTCTTGTCTTTATTACTTAACTCCTTTACCATGTATGCATGGTATGCAAACATTTAATTTTGTTTGGACTTGAACTCTCTGGGCAAAAAGTATATAAACGTAGTTTTCTGAGCACTGTTTATTAAGTTTGGAGGTTGCTGTTATTGACTGACATCATGTAACATTTGCAAGTATGTTGAAATTATTCTGGCCTGAAAGTTCTAGAGGAGCCGTGGATGCACCCTAATGAAGATTTCCAAACTACGATGAAACAGCTGTTCAGCACGCCATGGTGTTTAGTACTGTCTCATACTAGTTTTTTGTTCTTCATCGGGTGTCAAACCAAGAATACTCATTTTAATAGGATAACCCACTGATTATTCAGCCACATGATCCAGGATTCAGTGACCAACTGTGAATCCTAACTTCTGCCAGTTTACGAGATATAACGCTACTGCTGAGCAATGTCATTGACGATCATCTACTTCACCCTGGTATGTTGGACCCCACTGTCCTTGACTTCCAATTAGATCTTGGGGATATCTAGCTGATTATGGTCTTACTGTTTGATCTACATTTTTCTCAACTACTCACTTTTTGTCAGTAGTATATATTTCAAAAGGTAATTATTGATTTCTTGTGATTATGTGTTTTTAAAATCACAATTCAACGTTTATTCACCTCTTTTTCAAGGTCTCCAAAAATAAAATGTTGCGATTCAATCTGGTTACATAACCACCTGGTTTGATCTAGTTATGATACTATTATTTAGCCAGAACTTCCTAATTTGAATTTAAAGAATTAATCAGTTCAACCTCGTTTGTCTTCACACTCTAAATGAATTTTTGATTATTCATTGGTCGGATTGGAGAATATTCAGATATATAAACGAATGTACGCATCAGTTTTATGCCTACAGTAGTAAAATTTACCGTGATAAGTACCCTCTATGGTATTAATTTAGCTCTCTTCAACTGCGACTTCTACTACCGCTACAGACGCTTTTATCTTCAGTCTCGATGTGAATATCAACAACCACGCCGGCGCACACCTGATATCTATGGTCGGCCTGCAAAATTTGGGCTACCGATATCCATGCTGAAAATTCCATACTTGTACCAATAATACAGTGTGGAATCAAGCTGTAAATCAAAAAGAAAAGGTAGGTATGCTGTCCACTTCTCTTGTGCCAAAAGAATCACTAAGCACTTCTTTTTCAACTTAAAATACCTTATTCTGTGGCGAATCCGTAGAATAGACATTCAAATGTGAACGTAAAAGCCAGTGATGCTAAGCGGCCGATAGTGACTAGCAATGAAATAAAGGGTGCACATTTCGTTCTGTTTGTGACTGCTTATGTAGAAGTGCTTACACTTCCCAGTGCGGCATAATGTTCCTACTGATACTCGAGCCCAGTACCTATCGTTTCAAAGGCTAAAGCAATGACACTAGGTCACGAGACCCACCTCTTATGTAATGGGTATTAGTTATTGTTTTTTAAGTTAATTTCAGTCCAGTTCCGCTGCGAAAAAAGGTGAATTTACGCGAAAGAAGAGAACTCCAACTCAATTACTCTCATAGTGTATTTTGTTCATGGTTGAGGGAAATGCTATCATCCAGAATATGCCTTAAACTTGACCCTAACCTTAGCCTAACCGTAATCTCAAACAAATCTAATACTGTCGCTTTCTTTAACCCCAACCCTCGTCCTAAAAGTTTCGGAAGTTCTCTTTACTGTGAATGTCGTCCACTCCAGTATTTCTATTCCGTATCTTCACTCTTGAGTAGACGTCTAAGTAAAAGAACTATTAATGAAGCAGCATATTTTCTAAATTCAGTGACTTTTCTAGTATATTATGTAGAGTTCTTCAATGGTAGTGTTATCATCGAAAAAAGCTATAGAACACTATCTTATATAATAGAAAAGTGGAAAAAGTAGTTTCATTAGAAGCATAACAGACTGAAAAATGCTTCTCTGTCAGTCTGAGGAGACTTTGCATTCAAAGTTGTTCAGAGATTGATGAGGGGTCATCCAAAGACGGTAAACACGCATTCCTTGTAATGTTAAATCATTATCCGTCCAGATTTAGAAGCCCATCCTTCCTCTTCCTTCACTTCAACACGCACTTATAACTCCATAGAAGGATGAACCAAGTATCCTCAGGTTAAGGGGCGAGCCACTTAGCTATTAAATTATTGCTCAGGAATCCGATGACCCACGAATTTTGATTTCTCCTAATTCTTGATATTATAGTGTCACACACAGCCAATGTCAATGTCAAACATTTTCATAGAAGTAAGTTTGTATAGTTGTGTAAATAAACCCGCAGGAAGAGAGACCTCACTTAACTAATTATCCCCCTCTTATCGATATCCAAGTGGGAATATTGCGCATATTATTATTATTATTATTAACTTCGTGCGTCAGTGGGATAGCGGTTAGGACGCTCGCCGACCATGCACATGGTCCGGAGTTCGATCCCCGGCCAAATCACTCCTTTATCTCGCTAAGCCAGAAATAATGCTGGTGAAGAGGAAAGGTTAGGCATGAGGCTAGCAACCCATCCTGTAAAATAAACACTGCTACAGAAACTGCAAGCCACTAGCTTGAAGCCCTATGTACCAGTGGGGAACGTGAAGGAAAAGAAATTATTAACTTGGGGTCCTGATGGAACATAGAGCTTCAGCAACATAACTCCATTTCATCTTGTTCCTTACTGTCTTTCGTAGTTAACACGACTGCCTATAAGCTTCCATTTCCATCTCATATGATATTCCCCATTTCACACTAGGATGAACGCCCAACTAGTCGACTCCTATTCAGGTTCCACTCAAGGTCGTACCTGGAGTGTGATGGTACTCGACAGTTTCCCCAGTGTACAACCAATATGTCTTCCCTTCCTTCAGTATATTTGTTTGGCAATATTTTTTTGATTGTCCCATTTGTAAAATTCCTTGCTGCTTATCATCTCTTTGCAATATCACTGCATTCACTTACATGTAATCACACAACAGTATGGGATTGGGTAAAAGTATTAGGAATTCACATACTTAAGTGGCTAGACGGATCAAAAGGTTAATCACAGGATCTTTGCTCATGGAATCACCATCAAACAGATTCATTCGAAATGACGCAACATCTATCCTAGGTATATGACACGGTTATATAAAGTAAATCAGATGCTACTCATATGATTATGAGTAGCAATAAATTGCACTAGAAAACGTATCTAGCATGGAGTTATATTCTACCACAGTGCTCAAATTCTACTCTCCTATTAATTATACAGGACGCTATTATTTTGACATTCATTTATAATATTCTATAGTTGGTTTGTAAGGATTAGTTTTGTTTTTTACGAGTTGACCACGGACTACTGATATCAGTTAGAGAACCATTGAAAACCATGGAGTACTGGACAGACAGCTGTTTTATCCCAGTTTGGGAATCATCGGTAATACACCGTGATCACCTCGTAGAAACAAAACTAATCCTTACAAACCAACTATAGAAAATTAATCTGATGCTCGCTAGTGACTTGCTACAGGATGGAGTTTCCTGGAGTTCTAGTGAGAAGTCGTGACCAGTGAGGTCCATCCAGTCAAGTGTGAGGATGGATGTCCCATCGACGACACTGGTTGGGGTCACGCTAAATCACGAATTGGTAGAAGTTAGAATTCATGAGCCATTGAATCGGGTCTCAGTAGCTGAATGGTATACGATCTCGTCTTGTAACCGGAAGGTCCTGGGTTCGAACCCCACTGTGATGGATGCGTACTCCTAATGATTCCCAAACTAGAATGAAACAGCTGTCTGGC